TTTGTTTACAAGTTCCTTGCATAACATTATGCTATTGATACTGTCAATCTTAAGTTTTTATCAAAGAAAGCGTTCTACGGCCGCAGAGCTATGTGGTAATGAAATTATATTAAAACCAAAATTGGCGAGATGCATGAAGCTATTTTCTTTCATTCCATTTTTAATAGAATAAACTTTTTCCCAAAACATATCAATGTCCAGATCGCATTTGTAAAAGTTTTATATCTTCACGCTTGAAATCAAATCTTAAATTTATTTGGTCCAAAAACTCTATGTAAAACTTTAATATACCAGTTTTAACTTCAGGGATTCCACAACAATTGGCATTACTTTTCAAAAACATCTCAGCTTTCGTTCCAACAAAAATATCAGATATTTTCGTAAAAGCAGGAAATAAAATAAAGTTTCAAACTATCCCATTGCTCAACTATTCTCAACACAACGCGTCCTAGTGAAAGCCATCCTGTTTGAGATATGCCCAAGATTTTGTAGGGTTTTACCGAAGAGTAGTCGTGAAATTGCTTCAGCTCATATATCCTCTTTGGACTGTGGGAAAAGAAACTATATATGTTGCGGCACAGTGTCTCACTGCCTTGCGGCAATTTTTTACTAGCGTAGCTTGAGCAAAGGTGAAGTAAGTGGCATGTGTACTTTATATAAAATAAATCGATTTCTGCACTTAATAATGTTTTTTAGCCCGCCCAAGTCTCCAACCATAACATTGGCTCCATCAGTGGCCAAACCAATTAGGTTTCTTATTTTTAAAGGCAGGATTGGCAAATGTTTAAAAGGTACAATTGGCAAATATTTATATGCAAAATGATGTTTGAAATATATATTTTCATAACTAAGAATTTAAAAACTTAATTCAACTATCCGACCAAAATCTTACTTTGCCGACCAACTTACCAAATGAAAAAGAAGCGACCAAATTTGGTCGGAAAATACCAATAGCGGCAACACTGGTAGGCATGCATTATAATATATATATATGTTTGTGTAAGCCCTCACAATAGGTAGGCATATATTTATATCGAATACACGATTTTTGAAATTTAAGTCGATCATTTCACATACATACATATGTACATACCTACATGGCTGCATAAATACATACATACGTAGGTATATATTTATAAACTTTCGTACATACCAATTAATACATTTAAAGTCCAAATAGAAAAAAAACTAGCGCAAGTGTAGGTACGCCAAATCCCGACTTGGAATAAATCGCCCAATTGTTTTGTCAAAAGGCGAGTAAATTTATTATCATTTCGATTAATCTTCTCTTTCTTCATCTTCTTCTTCTTTTTCTTATTCATTTGCGCTACAACTCTTTAATCGATTTTGTCTAGCGAGCTGTCTTCATACCAGCTGCCGCCAGTTAGAAAATACCAAGTGACCCACCTAGTCTTTTCAATTCGGAGAAGGCCGTTGTTTACCACTACCCGCTGTAAAGCTCCGTAGACATGTATGTATGTATGTATTTAACTCTTTCTCTGTATATTTTCTCGATCTTTTCGTGGGCCGCCACAGTCAAAAATAACACTTGCCCAGTCTCCGTTGAATTTCCAGCGAGGTCGATCAGCCGCAGTCCATTAATAGGTGGCTAAGTATCATTGATGTCGTCTAGCTAATTTTCAGGTCGTGATTGGGAAGTACTAGTAGGTGTCTAGACCAGTGATTCCCAAAGTGGTCCAGGTGGTCCACGAGAGACTCGACGGGGGTCTACGATGGCGTGAAAAAAAATATTGGGGTCCACGAAAATGGATCAAGCAACCACCCTCTTTATTTGACTTTAATTTTGTTGAGTAGTGTGTAGTGCTCTTGACGCACTGCTGCACTTACCGTCACTTTGTGTCTTCGTACGTGGTGAACCTTGAAGGACACCTTTAGACTAAAAAGAAACCGATATTCTTATAACACTGATTGGGGCGAGGAGAAAATTGCTGGCGGCTGAGGTTTGAGCGCTTGTGTCGTTTCAGTGATATGGGATAGTACGCCACCACGATGTCGAGAGCAAAGGTGGCGCCCATCTCGATACCGCTATTCCGCTCTCAGTGAATTTGACAGAGTTCCCTGAGGCTGAATGGTGGTTTAATTCCAGTACTCACACATTGTCGAATCTTCACTGATGGCTCAAAAGCTGATTCTGTGTCAGGATCTGGGGTCTTTTTCGAAGCTAATTGGGATAAGCTTCACTTTTCTCTTGGGGAATATGCCCCGGTCTTCCAGGCTGATGGCAATAGACTACGTGGTGGAAAATAGGTAGAGGGAAAGGAGTTTACTTACCTGAAGTGACAACCAGGCTGCACTTAAGGCATTGGCCAGCCCTCTGTAGCAGCTGGTGGGTCCACCGAAACCAGTAAGGTTTTGAAAAGGAGCCACCGCGAAAAAAAGTTTGGGAACCTCTGATCTAGACTCTAAAAGTTTATAGAAATAGGCATTTGTAGTGTTATCCTTCTCATCCGTGGCGGCGTGGGCAAAGATGAGCGAGATGTTGAAGGTTCTCACTTTAATGAGAATTGTTGCGAGATCCTGTTTTCCGGAATGAACAACAGTACTTGGTGACGAAGTGTTTCTGCAACGTCCTATGCTCTCTTAGCTTGGCCTGCCAAATGCACCTCTTTGATGATCGTAATGTCTAGCAGATACATATATGCCGTGAAATCGTAAAATCTTGCTGGAAGGATAGTTTTTTCACCAAGTGGCCAAAGGGACGAGTTTCGTTAATGAAAATTCGATAGTGTCCATACCAGTACGACTGAAATTCAAGGCGATCGATACTGAATGGTAATTCGATATGAATATGTTTTTACTAATAAATAAATAAATATACGTATAATGTATAAATGTATGTGCAAGTACATATGTATGTATGTATGCGCGTACCATACCATACGTAATTAGAAAATAATCTCGAATCTAGATGCTCGCCGGTAGTATTGTTTTCTGTTCTGCATGCATCGAATGGGCGTCTTCAAATGCATCGCCAGCTTACACACATATGTACGTATAAATGTACACCAGGGTGGTCCAAAAAAAAAATAAAGTCGGAATTTTAATGCTCTCGCCCCCTAGGATTGTTCTATACCGAAAAAAATTATACCAATGTTTGTTTATTTTGAAATCAAAATTTTTTAGAGGTCGTTCACAGCGCTCAAAGTTTTCCATGTAGTTTATATGGGGAAAAAAGTTCTCGTAGAAATGGTATGGAATTCTCGAAATACAATATTTTTCGTTCGGAAATCTTCGTTTGTCTTCAGGAGACTTCCATTAACAATACCCAATCGTTTATTTAACCATTTTCTACTATTAGCTATTTATTATAGGACCCCTAAAACCTCAAATGGGTCCACCATTGAATTTTTTGAGATTTTTAGAGGTCCTATAAAACTAGCCAATAATATAAAATGGTTAAATAACGCAGTTTTTCGATCGAAAAATATTGATTTTAAAGAGTTCTATACAATTTCTACGAAAACTTGTTCTTTCCCACATAAAATACATGGAGAACTGTGAGCGCTTTGAGCGACCTCTAAAAGCTTCTTATTTCAAAATAAAAAAAAAACAGGTGGAAAGTTTTTTTTCGATATACATAGAACAATCATAAGGGTTGAGAGCATTAAACTTTCGAATTTACTTTTTCACGTACATTTTTTGACCACCTTAATGTGCATGCATTGTGTAGATATGTATGTTTCCACATTGTAGAAGTTTTTTTAATCTGTATGAATGTACATCAGTCAACACCAGCGCCAGATTACTTAAAAGCTTTCTCCTCCATACCATCTATGTACATATGTATATATATTTGATTTTTTAATTTTTATTATCGTACATATGTATGTATGCATATGCGTTGAGAGCAAAGGAATCTGTAGCTATGCCGGAATGTTAAAAAAAAAATTAATTTTATGGGAACTAGCATAGAACCCCGCAAGAAAATGCTCAACTAGTGAAAAAGATATATTGTTCAGAACTACAACTTGCATCAGTCTTTTTTACTTCTAAACTATAATTGATGGAAATGCCTTATTTACGCAGCTAAGTTCCAATTTGGCATTTATTCGTGGTTGCGTATATTGGAAATTTCCATCAATAATAGATTAGAAATAAATGCGTCTGATGCTTTGGCTTGATGCATTTCTGACCACACCCTACATATCTGCGGCATGTGAGATATACCAGCGCTTCAACGTTGGTTCTGGTGTTGTAATTAGAGCGGCAGCGTGAGCAAAGTTAACATATCCCATAACTAAAAGATTTTCAACTAAGAAAAGGCATTTTAGAGTTTTCATTTTACTAGTTGGTGTTGGTTGATTTTTCCGAGAGTTGGTTGATTTTTAGAACGAAAAAAAAACACTGAAGATGGTACAACGACGAAACCGATTTGTCTCCAAACCAAACTAGGCAAAGGATAAGAGAAATTTGTTTCAAAATAAATAATTTTTATTTTGCTCTTACAGAGTAAGGAGATAGATAAACGCGCGATACTTGAGCTCAATTATACATAGTACATCTGAGCTTTTAGTTTGCTACTAATGCCTGTGACAGACACCTAAGGGCGTGTGTAAATCGGTAACCACCTCTGAGACACAACCTTTCTGATGCAAAAAGAATTATAGAAATCGGTTGACGTGGTCCAACTGATAACCTCCTCCTTTTTTGGAAGTCCGTTAAAAATATAAGTACATATGTATGGATTTGCACATTGGAAGTTAAAATTTTTCACATTCAAAGAATAAACAATAATAAAAGATGATACCAGCGAAAGAGAAAAGTATAACTTGCGCAACCTAGTTGAAAACTAGTATCTAACCGTGGTTGCGCAAATTTGGCATTACAATCTACCGAAATTTAGAAATAAATGACACTGATGCTTTATATTTTGACGTTTTGGAATGCACCCTTTCATTTAATGACATTCAGTGGCGGATACAGCGGGAGGGGAGCTTTGGGGGTTAAAGTTAGGGCTGCCAGACCTGCCGGTTTTCCCGGACATGTCCCGATTTTAGACTATTTGTCCCGGTGTCCCGGTCCAACCTTAAAATGTCCCGGGTTTCGTTTTAGTGTCCCGTTTTTTGATTTGATTGCACAAATTTGAATAAAAGTTCAAAAATCACTACACTAAGGGAAAAAACGCGTTGTAATATTCAGAAAA